CTTCCTAGGTGAGCTGGGCTTGGGCATCCTGAGCTGTGACGTCTTCCTTCTGTTCAGTGAACCTATCCCAGTGGGGACTGCATTTTCAAAGGTGCGGGAGTTTGGAAACGGATAGCTTCTGAGAGCTGAGAGTAGATGGTCTGATTGGATTAGAGAGTGGGATTAGGGATGTGGGAGATGGTAAAACCGGGAGGTAGACAGGGCAAGTCCTGGAGGGCATTGAAGTTGGGTAAAGGTGTAGGGGAGAAGAGTGGACTTTTATTGGAGATATATATAATTAGTTGTATATGGACATAATACCTTTATTTTACTTGTTTATTTTTTATGTGGTGCTGAGGATGGAACCCAGGCCCCATACATGCTAAGCAAGTGCACTGCCACTGAGCTCCAGGCCGGGCTCCGCCCTAGGAGTGTGGACTTTTTGCAAGGAGGTACAACAGTTGCACCACTGGGGACTGCAGTATTCAGGATGGTTAGTTTTTTGTTTGTTTGTTTGGTGGCACTGGGAATGGAACCCAGATCTTTTTCTCATAGGCTAGTTAAGTACTTTACCACTGAGCTCCAGCCCCAACCCAGAACACTTTTTGGATTTTTCTTTTTTGGTACTGGGGATTGAACCTAGGGGCACTTTACCACTGAGTTAAGTCTCCAGCAACCCCCTGCCTTTCTTTGGACACAGGGTCTCACAAAGTTACTTAAGGGCCTTGCTAAGTTGCTGAAGCAACTTAGTTGTAATCCTCCTGCCTCAGCCTCCTGAGTCCCTGGGATTACAGGCATGTGCCACTGGGCCTGGCCTAGGATGCTTTTGAGTGCAAATAATAGGAGCCCAATTCAAGGATTTTTCCCCCCTTTTTTAAAAAATTTTAATTGAGTGTGTACATATATATGGGGTACAGTGTGATATTTCAATAATAGTCAAATCGAGATAATTAGCATATCCATGACCTCAAACATATTTCTTTGTGTCGGGAATGTTCAAAGTCCTCTCTTCTGTCTACGTTGAAATATAAATTATTGATGACTCTAGTCATACTCTTATGCTATAGGACATTTGATTTATTCCTATCCAACTACGATTTTGTACCTGTTAATCAACTTCTCTCTATCACCCTTAAATGTAAGCACTGAATAAAATATGTCATCTTCTAGAACACCTTGAAGCAGCATGGATCAGGGTAGATTAATTTGGGGTCTTAGGGTCTTTGAAGACCAAGGTCTGTCCATCTTTCTGCTTCATCATCCTCCAGGTGTGCACCCCAACCTTTAGGTGAAAATGTTGGTTACCATTTCTCTAGGACCAAGTTCTCTCCCAAGCAACTTGGCAAGGCTAGAAGAGAGAAAAGGAAGGGAGTGTTTTCCCTCACATCTCATCGGCCAGAATTATATCATCTGCCCCTTTCCAAACCAATCGCAAGCAGAAAGTTTAGAATGAGCCCGATTAACTTTGACCAATCAAGACTCTCTCTATAGGTTGGGGGAAGCTGAGCTTCCAGGACTCAGGATTCTGTTAGCATGGAGAAAGCAGGGAGATGGCTTTTGGCTGTCAGGTGAGCTGTGACGTGTTCCCCCCGCCATGGCCCTTTGAGACATAATCTAATAGTTCCCAGGTAAGTCACTGCTTCAGTGATGAGTCTTTTTTTTTTTTTCAGTACCAGGGATTGAACCCAGGGGTGCTTAACCACTGGGCCATATCTCCAGACCTTCTTATCTCTTATTTTGAGACAGGATCTCCCTAAGTTGCTTACTGCCTCACAAAGTTGCTGAGGTTGGCTTTGAACTTGCAATCCACCTGCCTTAGCATCCCAAGTTCCTGGGATTACAGATTTGTGCCACTGTGCCCAGCTGACGTGAGTCATTTTTAGTTCTGGTTCCCAAACTTCAGAGAAGGCTTAATTATTAAAATAAAACATAAGCAAACAAACAAACAAACAAACAAACAAATCAACCCTGCACTTGCTTTCAGCATAACTTCTCATCCTCCTCGCTGGGGTTTGTAAGTCTGAACCTTAGTGGTGTCTCCTATGACAGAAATAGCTTCTCATCGGGTTGTTCCAGGGAACTGGGCCAAGAACTGCCTCCTAACCCTGTCCTGGACTGTCCACTCATAGGCAGGACATGCTGGGCTTAATTGTGAGACTTTGATAGCTAACTAGCAGATGGCCATGGCCCTGGGTGTGGTTGAGGGGAGAGGGAGGCTGACAGGTATCAGGCACTCCCCTGTCGATCAGCAGAGGGCACGGCGTGGCTGAGGAAGACCGGCCAGGCTTGAACAAGTCTTCTAAGCATCTTTAAAAAAATTTTTTAAATAAATTTTTTAGTTGTAAAAGGACACAATATCTTTATTTTGTTTATTTATTTTTATGTGGAGTTGAGGATTGAACACTACAAACTAGTGCCTCACATGTGCTGGGCAAAGTGCTCTACCACTGAGCCCCAGCCCTCTTTTAACCATCTTGGTCTGTATACTGTCTTCTAGTAGCTCATTTTAGACGTGAGGAGACTGTCTTCATCAGAATTGAGAAGAGCTCAAATTCCCCAGGGAAGTGTAGTAGACACTTTGAACTATTTCCTCCTCTTCCTCACTAATAGAAACCTGATTTCATAGTCCAAGCGGAACTATAGCTTATGTCATTCCCTTCTGTTGACTGGGCCAGCAGGGACACACAGTTCACTTCTGACCAATGAGATATAAGGAAACGTCTTCTGTTGGCTGCTTCATGGAAATTCCTAACTTTTCGATAAGAGGGAATTGTGGGGAGAGAACGCATTGTCCCCTCTATGCCTGCTTTGGGTTTTGTCCCAGAAGGAATGATCAGCTTGAGCTGTGGTCATGAGGAAGAGAACCAGGGAAGGCAAAGGGGCCTGCC